GTAGTAGTAGTAGTAGTAGAAGAATAGCACAGCAACGCTAATAGCGTGATGACTACCGCAACGGCAGCCTTTTGTTCGTTTCAAGGCAGCTACAAGTGTTCTGGGGTGTGGTCGCTTGTGGTTGAGCATGTTTGCCATGTTAAGCTTTATGAGTTTCCATGCAGGTTCAGGTTTTACTCTGGACTTCCAAAAGAGCTTGTGACAAAATCTTGCATCGCCTCGTTGTTGGACACCGCAGCGGTGTCCAAAATCGAGGCAATACAAGAGTTCACCGGCGTTCAAATTCATTGCGCCTGCCAGCACATTCAGGGCCTCAAGCACATGCATCTTGCCTTTGGGGGGTTTATTCCCCGCCGGGTGAATCTTGCTGCGGCTTTGTAGCAGGAAGCTGTTTGCTGAATTCGACTTCTTTTTGTCTAGTTGCACAGGTCGTGCTGCTTTTAACGACCTCCCCGTGTCTTGTAACAAAACACTTGATGCGCATGCGTCGGCCGCGGCTGTATGTTTCGGCAGGCCATACAGTCCATCGGAAATACACATCAGAAAATACTATCTTTGACTGGCTTGCGGGTGAAGGGATTGAAAATGAATCACCATTATGAGGAACCCACGTAATGAAGAAAAGGGCTTCTTGGACTGAATTGGTCATTTGGTTCAACTATCTAGACCCTCCATCTACCCTCTACATACGCTAAATACCCGTTATTGGGGCCTATACTCCCCTGTTCTCTCGTAACGTGGTCCTGCTTCAGCCTTGATTCTATAGGCCCCTTTGCCACGGATAGGCCGGATACTACGAGTTCGGATTATAGCTCAGATGAGCTTTAGCTGTCTTGCATAGAATAACCCGCATTATGTACCAAATGGCTAATCCTTGATGAAGCCTAGGTATTATGAGAAACCTCAGGATGTGCCATGCATTCATCAAGGTGAGGGGGCTTTCTGGCCGCAAACTCTGAGCTTCAAATCCTCCAGAGCACGATGTCAGGGCCCTTGGGAAGAGTGTGTTAAACAAGAATGAAGTAAAGATCGACAGGATGAGACATGACAAAGGATCGGCAAAACCCGTATAAAGACATGTAATCCAAGTGGGAACACATCCGACAGAATGCAGTGTGCTAAAGCATCTGTTTGTCGGGTCGCAAGGCTGGCTATACACTGTGGCCGGACAAAGGGTTCGTGGTGACATCATCAGTACTGCGGGTTAGCTGATCGGCTATTGCTTTGGTATGTGCCAGGGTCTTGCCACTGGACAGAATTCCAAATTGGATTACACTGAGTCCTTAGCATGCTCCGATGATGAACTGATGGACTTTTCGAGAACCAAGAGCTCTTGCAAGGAAGCAAGAAAGGCCTGATTGATGTAGGAGTACATTAAGTTGAGCTTTCTTGGGACCGCAGAAGAGAACATGTGAATTTCTCATGCCCAGGCAAGAGAACTGGGAATGTCATTCCCGAGTGAGGCTCGACAGCTTGAACTGGTGAGGCCAAGCTCGTAGCATTTTGCAACTTCGAGCCGGTGAATCTCCAGGCCCAGTAACAGACAATAGTAATAGATAATAACAATGAATGATAGTAATAGTAATCGTAATTGTAATGGATAATAGCAATGGTAATGGTAATAATCTTCTGCTAAACGTGCTCGTTGTTCTGAACTTGCTGCCCTTGGTGAGCTGCTCCGGCTATTCTTGCATCCAAGAAAGGCGTGCTCCCAGAAACACTGCGCAGGAACTAAAAGAATCGACTGCCGGATATTGGATCTGAGGTAGGGAGGTGCAGCTCATGCCAGGAGCTTTGTCAATGCTTGCACTGTTGCTCCTCCCTTTGTTTTTTCTGGGCTCAGGTACCTCCATTTTTTTTGGTGCCGTTTTGATTTTGTGGGGGGTTTGTCGGAGACAGGGAAGCCATGGACCAGGTTGCAATCGCCCAGATTTGCACCATCTCTTGCTTAGCGCTTGCTCTTGCAGCAAGTTGTCTTGGGTGCATGTCGGGAAAACGCCCGAATCGTGGCACCAGCATAGTGATTACCACTTTGTGCCTCTGGTCACTCTGGTCCCTCTTGACGAGTCAGCATTTGCCAGACTATGCTGTCCATGGAATCACCATGGCAGCAGTTGGAGTTTCTCTGTCATCTTTGTACAGTTCACTTGAAGCTCTTGTCCGCCAAAAGGGGCATAGCAGCACCATGTCCGCCCCAGCTTTGCTTTGGAAAGTAGTATTTGCCATGGTGAAGCGGGGTGAGCTCGGCCAGGCCATGATATGCTTGTTGTGGGGAACGCACTGCTTCACCACACACGTGTTGCTGGAGTTGGAGGATTTCATGCTTGAGCAAATGCCTTGGCAGTGGCAGGGCGAGGTTGTGATCATTTTGGGTCATCCCAGGAGCGCCTCCACGCATGTGCATCACATGCTCAGTCAGACATTGCCAACAAGCGCTTCGCTGACTTTCTACGACGTTCTCTTCCCCTCCCTCATCCAGTGGTATTGCATGTACCCATTCAAGCCCTTGGCCAACAAGTTCCTAAGCCTTCTGGACTCGCCACAGCACCGAATCGCTGTGGATGAAGTTGCAGAAGAGCAGCAGTGGCTGCTGTTGAAGTTCAAGGACATTCTGCTGCCCATGCTTTTCCCAGCTATGGTGGAGGATCCTGAACTCTTTCGTGCATCCTGCGACTACACAGAAGCAGATATGATGTTCATCAAAGGGTGCATGAGACGCCTCTTGATCCGGAAGCCCGAGAGCAAGCTCTACATCGCCCGAATGCTCACTTTCTCACCGTGGCCGGAATACATCACAGCCGCCTTTCCCAATGCCAAGTTCATTGTCTGCCTGAGAGATACTGAGGAGTGTTTGCGATCTTTCGTAAGCCTCGCAGCCGTTCACTCAGGTGGCAACCCACACACACCACTCTGCAAGAAGTGGGCCCAGAATTGTGCTGACACCCTCACAGGAGGCACTGTTCGGGGCTTGCAGCGTCTTGTGGACGGTAATGTCCAGGGCGCAGGATCAGTGATGCAAGTGAACTTCCGCAGTTGGAAGGCCGAAACTCGAGCCTCTTTGAACTGGTTGCTCAAGGAGTTGGGGCAAAGAGCGCTGGAAGTGGAGGGATCAAAGGATGTGAAGGTGGATCGACGCGAGAAACACAAGAGCAGACCAGACATGTCAGATTGCCTGGAGGGAGTTGAAATTGCCAACTGGGCTATTGATGACATGAATTCTATGATGGAGAAACTGGGCTGAATGCTGATTGTATAGATATGTTGTCTGAGTGTGATTGTTGCCCGCGTGCGCCAAAAACATCCCAGCTTGCAGGGAACATTTCCATTCCTAGCCGAAGCAGTGAGTTGTGTATCTCCGCAATGCTAGGGCTGCGGCGCAATGTAGAGCCAGGGCACGCTGTTGGACAGAATGACAGCGACATGCATGCAAAGCTTATCGTGACCATCTTGCTGCGGCATTGTGGCAGGAAGCTGTTTGTTGAATTCGATTTCCTTTTGTCTAGCTGCACAGGTCGTGCTGCTTTTAACGACCTCCCCGCGTCTTGTAACAATACGCTTGACGCGCATGCGTCGGCCGCGGCTGTATGTTTCGCCAGGCCGTACACTGCATGGGACCCTGCAGAGACAAAAGCACGGTGCACTTTGGCCGGCTTCCTTTTGAGGAACCTAAATCAATTCATTTCAAGCCGAGCGTTGCCTGCCACATGTGAGCTATAGTCTAAACTCCATAAACGGATATGGGTATGATATAGTGGACTACTATAAGGTTTATTTACGGGGTTACTAGGACTTTAGACTATAGCTCACATATCGTGCGATGTCCATCCCCTACCAGGCTTTTGGCTCAGTACAGCTTTAGGCTGCACAAACCCAGACTCGATGGCGGAAAAACTCCCGCGAACCAGGGTTGCGTTCGCATGTTTAGTGGATGCGACACACTTCTACACGGTTTGCTCTTTGTTCAGTGACTCGGCCATCCCTCAGAATTTTGGGACCCCAAAATGGTACTTTTCCCAAAACAGGGGAACCGGTATAGACCCCAAAATATTATAATCCATGTTACACGGACCCCAAAAAAAGGTACCTGGAAACCCCCACATTCTCTGAAGTGGCAGCGGTCCTGATGTTGGCTCCCAGAGAATCACAGATTTGCCATGCACAGTGTGCTTATGCACCAACACTTTAGTCGGAATTATATAGGGGAGTATTATAGGGGTTATCAAGGGGGAGTTTAAATTGAAGCTTAGTTTAGGCTTTCTGCTGTAATGGGACGTTCTGCTTATTCTTCCCTTGTTTCAATTTATTTCCATTTGTTAAGGCTATGCTGGTGTCCTGTGCGCCGACCTCCAGTGGGTCCCTGACCGAAACGAAGCTGGCTTTTTGGCAGGATGGCTCCAGTCTCTTGGAATCCCATTGGTAGCCTTTTGCCCTTCTTGGGTGTTGGGTTGGTTTCTAAAGTTTACCAACAGAAAAAAGAGCACCCTTGTTGTAATATGGCTACTGGGCTACCAAGGTCTTCAAACGTTTTTGGGCGTATGCTGACCTCCTCACTATGGGGTTGGGTTGCTGCGCGGTATGGCTTCGACATCGTGTTGGCCATCACCTTGACATCTCTCCTGACTGGTGGGCTTTTGCAACTAGCCTTCAAATGCCTAAAATCATGAAATCTGCAGCAAGTGGCACAACCTCTTCAGGGGATATGCAAAATCTCGAAAGTGCTAGATTTGAGGCACATCCAGCAGAGGGTAAGACGTCAAGAAGTTGTTGTGACAGCTGAGGTTTGGTTTTTGCAAATCCCTGGTCCTTGCCATGCTAGTCCGTTTCATGTTCTTCGGTCTGCTGCACGGCTGGGTTGCAATCATGGGCCCCTACTGCGCCAGCGTCGCGGGCGACAAGCGCCAGCAGGATGTCATTGGCATAGTCATCGCAGCAGGAACAGGGATGCAGCTTGTGGGACCTGCGATCTCAGGGTGGACCTACGACCTCGTTCCCAGTTTTCCAGCACTTGTTCCAAGCCTACTTGGAGCATCCCTGGGATTGGTGTCAGTCTCCTTATTTTGCTTACTGCGACTTAGGGACAAGAAGGCCAAGGCTCAGGCGGAGGCAGAGCCCTCTCAACAGGCTGAGAAATCATCCAAGGAGGAAACCGTGAATTCCAGGAACTCGATCATGCACACGCTCCGCAGGTGTCCTATCCCACTGATCGTATTCATGCGCTTTAGCCAGGGATTCGCTCAATTCGCCATCTTCGAAGTTGTCCCACTTTGGCTCATTTCGGACAGAGCTGTGGGAGGCTTGAACATGTCTGAGAAACAGGTGGGTGTGTTACTTGCTCGCTCTGGATTGTGGAATATCTTCTACTTCTCCTTGGTGTTGCCCAGATTGTCTGCAAGGCTAGGTGGAAGATGCACTTCCAGCATCGTGAGTATTTTTGGCATCATCTTCTCCATCTTGTTGCCATTCTGCACCACTGAGCTAACAGCCAACGTGACGCACTTGCTTGCCACGTCTGCCTGCTTATCGCAAGCTGCCTTGAACATCGCCTTTACAAACAACTCTGCTGGTCAAGCAGATCCTGAGTTGCCGTTAAGGAGCTTTAGCTAAGTTACCATAATCTGGGCATTCAGTACATAACAGGGTTTCCTTTTTATAGTGACCCTAAACCCTACATACCCAAATTCGAGTAACTTGATTTGCGTTCCTTAACTGCAACCCAGGATCGGGCCATTGTAAGCGGCGTTGCCGTGACGTTGGACACAGTCGGCAAGGCCCTTGCTCCGATAGTGACACTTGTTAGGGTTTAGGGTTCAGGGCATGAGGGAATATAGGATAGGTTTAGAGTTTAGGGTTAGGGTCTGGGGGTTAGTAGGGAATAAAGAAATATAGGGGGATAACAGTGGGGTTGTATAGGGATAATGGAAAAGAAATTGGAAGCGACTTTTTGGGTGTAGGGGTTAGGATCAATAGGGAATAAGGGTACATATGGAGTATACTCCCATATTCCACACAAAAAAACAGTAAGGACATCCACAGTCTTCGCGTGGTCCATCAGTGCTTTCGGGATGGCAGGTCATGGACTTGTCTTCTACATTCAGGTGCCTGAGATCTATGAGAGAAACTAAAAACTTAGAGTTTAGGGTTCGGGTTCAGCTTAAAACCCGAACCCTAAACCGCTTAAGCTTAAAAGAGTCCTCAAAGGAGTGCTATACTCTACCTGTAATCATAAAACCCCTATGTCCCTGAAGTTCTTAAGGTACTCCTATTGCGAGTGGATTTGGACAGAGACTATGCTGCTGTGTAGTCTTAGCCTCACTGTTGTTGTTGCCGTTTTCGCTATTGTGAGTTGGTGATTGCTTTGCTGTTGTATCGAACTTACTGTTGGTTAGCAGGGATAAGGCATATAATGCCTGTATACTATATGCCTTTATTCCCTACTAACCCTAAGCCCTAAACCCTAAATAGTAGTTTCCATTTTCTTTTCCATCATCCCTATATAACCGTATATTATGCGCCTACGTGGCATTTTTTCCCTACTAACCCTAAGCCATTAGTCACTGCATAACATGTTCCCTATATATTGTATTCCGTTATCCCCTCGTAAAGCCCAGTAGGTTAAGAGTTTATGGTGGCTTCAAGTTTGCAGCAGGCGGCGCTCTCGTTGGTGAACCTCCTTTGCACAGCGCTGCTGCCTTCTTCTGTGGAGAACGACCAGCAGGCTCCCCTAAACCCTCAACACTTGTAAGCTTTTTTCAGCTTTTTTGAGCCTTTTAAGCCCGTGTAAGCTTTTCTAAACCTTTTTGGGCCCTCTTGAACCCTAAACCCTAGACCCTTTTAAACCCCAAACTCTATACAAAATGCCTTAAAGCCTAAACCCAGGCTCATGTTGCTGGCAACTTGGAGTCCAGCGAGGGAACGATCTACGGTGCGTCAGAGAGCTGCGAAAGCTCGGAGGGCAGTGCTGAGACTGGCAGATGTTGAGCTTGCTCCTTTCCAGCTGGGGGCTTGGAGGGTTGAGGGTATTACCCAAACAATGGAGAATCAAATGGAAAAGAAAATAGGGGTTATATTAGGGATAGGGCTTTGAGACAAGCATTAGGGTTTAGGATTTGCATGTGCAATAGGATGAGGTTGGAAGTACGTAAGACAGAAGGGTGTAAGGCAACCGGCAATCTTGGGGAACGAAATAGATGAACTGAGAAACTGATATTGCGTAACTTCAAGTCGGATGTAGTAGTTTCCAAGAAGTTAGATTCCTGACATGCCCCAAATCTCATAATTTCATCCCAAGTAGAAGTACTCCCAACCACATGCCCAGAAATGTGGGGCAGGGATCTCCAGGTAACGGGCCTCGATATGGAGGTTTTTTCGGGGCCCCCTAGCAGTGATTCTGTGCATATTTTTTGTTGCTTTAGAGGGCTCGGCCATCTGTGTAACCAACACCCTTAACTCAAAGCTCTGAACCGTACTGCTCTGCCACCCAGCTCTTGGTGAAGGTAATGCACTCTGTGTTGATAGCAGCACGCCGGTTGCTGAAACGCAGCGTCAGGATATGAGCATAGCTGACTACGTACACTGAAAAGTGCGTACAAGAACGTATGTGAGTAGACGCATAATGTAGTTAGGAAGTGTGAAATGCAGCGTAGTTTCAGGCCCCAGCAAGGGTCCAACAACAGATGGTATCATGATTAGTCATCAGCCTCATTGCTCGATCTAGACCCTGCCTGTTCGTGAGTGCGTTTCTGCCTTGGGATGAGACCTGGTAGTGTTCATGAACAGGGCAACCCAATATAGACCCAAGAAAATTACAATCGTTGCTATAGGGACCCCCAGAAAAGTACTCCCTAATTGTGGGAAACTGTAAACGCTACATATCATGATATTCCTCAAAACCCCAATCCTAGACCGCTTATCCCCTTTTAAAGGTACCCCTAGTTTTGGAAATTGCCGCATACATGCTGTGTACCTGAAGCAAAAACAAGTCAGTGTGGCAAAGCTGCGTGACACTCGTTAATTTTCACTGAGCTAAGACAAGCAAAGCAACAACTTGCTGGGGGTGAGTAGGGAATATGCGAAGATATTATGTAGGGATTATGTAGGGTTCTGTTCCCATATTTCCGCCTAAGAACCAGTACTTCCTCATAATCCTCAAAAGCCACATATGACAAGCTGGTGAGGCCAAAGACCGAGCTTTCGGCAAAGGAGCAGCCCATCCGCTCAGAAGCAGCAGATGGAGGTAGTAAATACAGTGTAGGCCCAAGCTTCCAAAAATTTTGCGTAAGGGCTATACAAGAAAGATTCTTGTAGAGAGAACTGCGGCAGTCAGCGTACAAAGAACGTATTGCTCCGCATGCCTTGTGACAAGAGCAGGGCATGCAAATCTGCCTTGGTTCAAGTCTTGGCTTGTAAAGAAAGCCCTTGCGGCAGCCTTCACAATGCTGCACACGCACGCTGCAAGTTTTGCGCTTTTGCCTGGGATCGTAAGGTGGCTGTCCTCAATGCATAGGGTTCCCTGGTGGGGGCTATAACGTGACAGCCACTCATGCTATGCATGCAGTCGGAAAAGCACAGAAGCCGTGACAATCCGGGTGGAGCTGTATCCGAAAATAGGGGACCCCAATATACACCCAAAATAGCATGATCCCTTTCAGGGGGACCCCCAAAATGGTACGCTAAGTTCGGGAAACCCCATCCATTTGCATCTGAAGAGTTTGCACGGGTTCAGGCTTCAAATTCACCTCCAGACTCGGGAGCTGGGGGTTTGGGGTTTATAGGATTTAGGTGTTGTGTTGATGTCTGGACCTCCTGAGGTAGAAAGACGAAAGGATGATGCCTCAACTGTGGTACAAGATAGGGACCTTCAGTTTCAGTGCTTATGTGCTTGCAGGTTCCATGTCTAGCTAACTAGCACCGTTCAATTTCAGCACCCCTGTTGAGTGGCTGCTGTCATGTTCTCATGGTCACGGCATGTTTGCTTTCTTGGATGTGCCTCACAGGTTTTGCTTCAAGTTTTTCACTGTGAAAAGCGAGTGACATTCTTCAATAAACTATAGTAGTCCCTATATACAGTAACCCATTATATTAGATACCCTTGTCTTTTCCATTTTCCCTATATAACCCCCATAGAACCCCTACTAGCCGAGCACTCCTGGGCCGCATCATCGCATTCTGAATATAAAGCCCCATGCATTGAGAAGTTCAGAAGGAAAGCTCCCCGAAACTTACAGGTAGTTGCAGGATCTCTGCGCGAGGTCATGGATTTTCACTTGAAGTGGGTCTGCTTGAGTGTTCTTCTTCTTCGTTTTCCTTTGTAGCAACGCCTCCCAAGATGCCTACAAATATAGGGACTTTAACAAACAGGGAACCCCAAGAATATAGCGGAATATCATAGGAATATAAGGTCCCTCGCAAGGCATATTCCTAGTCTATTACTACTATATTCTTGGGGTTACCTGCGTAGAGTTCCCATTAAAGTCCCCAAACAAAAAGTTGCTGCCGGCTGGCCTCGGCTCGTTGGCATGTGCGACAACACCAGGCCTAGGGTTGAAAATGTGGGTAATCCCCTCCCCCTAATGTTACAACTACCCCTCCAAGATTAAATGTTCCCATTGTGGTATCGAAGAGTATCTTGGCAATATTTAGCATTAGGGGGGTGGGGGATTGTAATATCAAGCGGAGGGGGTTACTCCTAAGATCAAAGTCCCAAAGCCGAGGTTTCAGGGTTCATGGTTGGCAATGGTAGTAGTGGTAGTTGTAGCAGTATCTCTAGTCATGGAACGAGTGATCTGCCCTACATAGCACAAGTACCATAAAACGCCCATGTCGCATTCTGCCCGGCCGTTTGTTCGGGTGGAGCTGACCCCGCAGTCCGTATCCTCAGACGAGGAGGATGTGCTGTAGCTGTACACTTACTGGTGGCTAGTAGGAAATATAGGAATGTGCTCAATGAATTGTACTTTATTTGTGGACCCCAGTATTTGATCCTTCTTGGAATATAGGTACACATTATATGGGGCCTTTCCAGGGCTGATGTTCCTTGATTCCTTACGAAGCACCAGTAAGTGCAGTACCTTTTTTTCTTGAGGATTTCAGATTCGAGTAGTTGAAGCAGTACAGCCGTCTGGAGCCCTTATTCTTCGACCCTAAGATATATGGAATCCTAAAACAGCTTGATTGATGGTTTTTTCGCAGGATAATCCGTCATAGAAGTACAACAAATCAGCATTGTTCCTTGGCTTTGCCTCCTGTTAGGTCCTTTTCCTTTGAACCTCTCACCAATTTGATTGTATGAAATCATTATTTCAAACTTTATCTGGGGTAACTTTGGCAACCCCACCCACCCCTAGGCCTATGGCAAGGGGTATCCGCAGAAATTGGTGTTGATGCAGCTGCGGTTGTTGTGACCGTTTTGTAGGGTATCAGGGGACTTTCATCACGCTCCTGAGCGTGTCGCCAAGACACTGCAACCCTAATCCCTAAACCTGAATTCCAAACAGGGGTATGTTAGACCATAATTGTTTCTATGATCCGTGATCCCCATATGAACAGTCGTCAAGAGTTGCGTCAAGGAGACGTTGTAAGGCTTTGACATGGAAACTAGACTTGGCCCAAATCCCAGAAAAGCGTTGGGCAGCCCTGAAAAGCGACACCCCCAATGTCCCAGTAGGCAGCCTTCAAGCTTATACAGACGCGAACATTATCCCTCTATCAAAGTCATAAAAATTGGGCCCTAAACCCTTAACCCTAAACCCAAGCAAGGACAGTGAGACTCACATCAAGATCTCGCAAGCTGCTTCGCTCCTCCGCGATGCTGTAGATGGATTTAACCGACCGGCTGCCCAACTGCCATTAAACGGAATGAGGATTCTGGGGCTTGGGGCATGAAATAATAATGAGAACAACAGGATTCTAACGCTGTAGGGGATGGCGATGTAGGTGTAAGCTGCTCCTCAAAATGCACTCCCGCGATGCAGCATGGCATCGCGCAGCGAAGGGGTGTAAGGCTTTTCGTTAGGGTACCTGTTTTTGGATTTGCCAAGTCCTCGCTCAAAAAAAAATGAGGATTCTAACGCTGCAACAATACGAAAATACTAATGCATACAGTGATATTCAGGATAGTACCCTAAATAATACCAGCCAGGCCCCCGGCCTTTGATCTCAAAGGGCGTTCCGAGGGGAACTCCGAAGGAACCTCCTCTGAAACATCCCTCCAAGTTCTTGGCCTTTGACTGCAATTGGATTTCTGACAGCAAGGTTTAGGGTTTAGGGCCGCATGGTTTCTTGGAGATATTTGGGTCAGCCCCAATCCAATGGCTCAGGGCCTGTAGAGTTTGGAACTTCTCGGGCTTCGGATGCCCCCTACATAGACTGGCTGTGGAATTGCCCAACATTAGAAGTAGATCCTCATAATCCCCATATACCCCATCGTCTATCTACTCAAAACGCATGACATCCCAAGCTTCTACATTTACATGGATCCTACCATTATCCCTATCTCACCATATTAACCCCGATATATACCCCATAACCCCAATATAACCATAACCCCCCGGTTTATGTGGACTGCCAAGGTTCCCATCCCCGGTAGGTATGCATATTGCGCCCTGGCTTTGCGCAACCGGCTGCTCCTGTTGCTCCAGCAGCTTGTCCAAGATTCATGCCGGGGGACCTCAAAACCCTATATCCTGAACCTAAACCCTAAACCTTCATCCCTGGAGGAGCCCCCGTGATTTCCCTATCACTCCTTGTTATCCCAAGGATCCCTGAAATTTTTAGGTGTAGGCTTATGGGTCTAGTTTTTTATCGCTTGGGTTTTTGGGGTTTTGGGTTTTGGGTTTGGGTTTCTGTTTGAAACTCGCTGCGGAGTGGTTCAAGCGAAGAGGTCGCCTTCAGAGATCAGGGAGGGGCACCCAAATACCTTGAGGCATGATGTTCCATAAGCTTTATTATGGAATTTTGTAATTGTTACCATGTTTATTCCCTACTCGTATATTAGTGCTAACTACTATTATGATTTTTCAGACAAAGCTACCGAGGATCTGGTCCTTGGCGGGCATGTTTGTAGAGTTCTTTGTGCTTCCTGACTGGTGCGTGAAGTCGGCTTGCTGGAAAGAGGCCACTGGGCCGAATCTGAGGCAATGGGAGGCTCCTTTCTTTTTTGGGTGTAGGGTTTATGGGCTTATAGGGTTGATAGTGTTTGTAGGGTTTATAGGCTTTCTGGTTTATAGTGTTTAGGTTTCAGGGAGTGCACATTTGCATTGCTGCCATTGCTGCAAATGCTCAGCAGTCTGCGCCGTAGATATCGTCAGGCAGGCTTCACAGAATGGTCAGGAGGTCAGTTTTTTGGCGATACATTGTAGCTAACAACCCCCTCCATAGCGTTAACTAGGCCGCTCAGAAATCTGCAGTACTTGTATTTCTAAACCCTAGACCGCGGAGCGCAGGCTCAAGAGGAAGGTCTGATTGTCATGAGGCTTCCCTGTCAGCCCAATTGTCCAAACGGCCTCAACAATCTCCTGGAAACAGCGGACCAGTACTGTGAGGAAGTGAGTTTGCTAAGCTCAAGAGCTCTGGTCTTCCTGAGCTAGTGCTCCTTTTGTCAGCCACCAGAGGAATCTGTCAAGCATCGTGTCAAGCTACGCATGCAAGACCGGGAATGTGCCCAACCAAGACATCTCGGTGCTTGCTGTTCTGTTTTCACAGGAAGCTGAAATTTGCTTTCCCCTGAAGTCCTATTGCAAATAATGCAAACTATCATGATTGCTGGGTTGAGGTCATAATGGATGGTCATGCAAGATTGCATCCTCAACAAGTCCCCTGAAGCTTCCTTGGCTTGCATATCTGCCAGCCAAGGACACGGATCGCTATTTTATGTCGCACGTCCCGAAATTCTCACGGAGGTTGGCAGTGCAAAGCAGTTGTTTCTGCGGGTGGCTAGTCAAGAGCCCAAGGTATGACTTACTAATACTAAGTAGAGAATACAGGAATATAATCCCTATATAATCCCTACATAATACATTCCTGTACGCCCTACTAACCCTACCCCAAATAGCAGTTCCATGTTTCCATTCTCCTTATGTAACCCTATACTGTACCCCTGTATTCTCTTATTCCCTGCTAACTCCCAGTAAGATGAAGGCTCCTTTAGAAGTGGGATCGGCTCCACCGCTGAGTTTCCATGCTGTATGCTGCTAGAGTGGAAAGCAGGCCCAGGCAAAACGCAGAGCCAGTCAGTGTCTTTGAGCCTCAAGGCAGTGCTAAGCAATGTGCTGGTCCTGATTCGGGTGGAGCTTTTTGAGACCTTTGGATATTTGAATTTGAGCAGAAATTCAATTCATGAAGTTCAAGGAAGATTGTTAGTCATCTTGAACCGCTGAAGGGCTGTGAACCCGTGCTCCAAGACGATCATGGCCTGGTTCTGATGCAAACCAGCTCACCACACGGAAAGCGACGGCAAGCGCAGTGAACAGCATGACCTGCTTGACGCCCCGAGAAAGAAACCAACGGCCCCCAGACCCCCCAAGCCACCCCCAATGCATTTTTGCTCATGCAAATGTGGCCTGGAAAACTTCGGTCTAGCTCCGGCAAGCGCACCGAGTCCGGGAGCCCAGCAGGAGAAACAGCCGCCCAATGATGCTGATGATGCGCCCTTTTTGCATTCAAATCTGGCAGCCTTGAAGGTCAAGCGGCATGCGCTGCGCCGATGCCCTCTACATCATTCCTTTCGATCCTGGGCTGACCTTGAAAGTTTGCTGATTGATCTGCTGTGGCTGGAAGACTTGTGCTCTGTACTTACAGTCCTGGCTGTGGACCAGATTTTTGTGCAGTCGAAAACAGCCGTAAGGATGCGCATGAATAACCAAAGCCTGAATATCCTGAAAACTTATGCCGATGACCTGGAGCCGGAACCCGTAACCTTCACAGCCTTAACGCTGAATCGGATCCTCCCCGAACAGGCCGTCACACCGAGGTTGCCGATGGCATCCTTCAGATCAACGCTTTCGGGAGAAGGATCTTTGAGAATCATCCTGCCTTTGCTTCTTGTCTGATCTTACTGGGGGTTAGTAGCGAATAGGGGAATATACATTATGTAGTGACTATTTAGGGATCATATTCTCCCATTCCAACCCCCAGTAAGCTGATTGCATTTTGAGCTTTAGCTTTCAGATGCAGACGTGTAATAACAGTCATTTAGAGTAAGATGGTGTAGGGTTTAGGGGTTTAGGTTTTAAGGAGAGTACTAGCATTGATGGCTGCATGCGGCTCTGATCTCTGCAGGGCTGGGGGTAAGGCTTGCAGATGTGGCCCTGAAGTCCTTACCCTAAGCCCTACACCCTCCACGACAATGTTTTGTGGTTGTGTCACACGGATAGTCGGACTCAATCATTGCAAGTGTTTGCCTACACCCTAAAGCCCTAAAGGCCTAAGCATGGTACAAACCTGCCAGGTTGTCTACGTATGTTGCGTGGGCCTGCAGCCCGGCAGAATCAGTGCTAGTAGAGGGAAAGCCACCTTGGAAGGCCTTGATTCATGATGGGTTTGGGGTTTTAAGGGGTTTGAGGGTTCAAGGGTTTCAGGGTTGAAGGGTTTAAGGATTTGAGGACTTAGGCGTTAAGGGGTTTGAGGTTTTAAGGGTTTAGGGATATGGTGCATGCTGTTCTGGTGAATTCTCCTTTCTTCCTGCAAGTCACCTCAAACTGCTGGAGCGTCGGCTACTGAAGACTACATCCACGTCTCGGAAGGCTTCCCTTGGAAGAGGAGCAGTTGTTGTTGTGTTGTTCCACTACAACTGCAAAAACGGACTATGACCCTGGACCCTAAATATTAAACCCCAAACCCTAAACCCTCAACATTAAGCCCTGGAGAATCATCCCAATGCGATTGGAGCCTGAACAGGTGCTGCGTCACGACAGTTGCGGAAGACTTGCTGCCGGCTTCCTGTGTTGCACGGTAGCAGCTCAAGGTTTGCCGGTGAACATGTGGGATCCCTGTAGGCCTTCTAGGATTTTTTCAAAAGCAAACCCACTAAGGACCTTTAGATGGGGCTCCCTACTGAGGATTCTCAAAAGGTACAACAACTTTCCACAGTTATAACTTGTAAGCGTGACAACCAGAGTGGCAAAGACAATAAAGCTAACCATGATCATCATTGTCATCCTACATATACATATGTACACGTATAGATAGGCCAACTACATATGTATAGTAGCGTAGATGAACTATCCTGTAAACTCTGTGCCAGAACCCACACTTGGGGGTTGGGGGTTAAGATATGGCTTAAGAACCAACCTGAACCTAAATCCTTAGCCATGGCTCTAGGAATCAAAGGATATCGCTCTTAGAATCTCCCTAATGCCCAAACTGTAAATCCAAAGCCCTGGCTTCATAAACCTGAGATGTAGCTCTACTGAATTGCTGTTGAGGCTCTTAGATTTAGTTACTAGAATGGGGGAACCATTTGTATTTCACATATATATATATATTTGTATATGTATATATCCGCTATGGTAACTTCACGTAAGTTCCTTAAGAGCAACCCAAACCCTAAACCCTAAATCCTGAGTTATGGCTTTAAGGTTCTGCCAATTCTGAGAGCTGGCATCTTCGTCTACTTTTTCCCAAGCGTTGCAAAGCAGGTCCAGTAACTTGGCTTTCGCGAAGCTCCAACGCAGGCATAGATTTATGGGATCTAGGATTTAGGGGATTGAGGGTTTAGGATTTAGGCTTTAGGGGATTTGGGGTCTGTGCTTCAGGGTTCAAGGTTTCCCAAAATTATGTGTACTTTTTTAGGGGTCCTTATCATAAGCAATAAAGTATTTTGGTGTCTATTTTCGGTCCCCCGATTTCGGGAAACTACCAGATCGATTTAGGGGATTTCCATAAATTGGGATCCCTGACAAATGTCCTGTAATACGGATTACACTTCGGGCCCCGTATGTATGGAAACCACCATTTAGGGGTCGGAGGGTTGAGGGAATTAGCGGGTTCAGGGATATTCGGCCTGACGGTGTTAGGGGTTCAAGGGGCGAGGGGTAGGGTTTGGAGTCTCAACTGGTTTGATGTGGGTTTCTGTGTCTTTTGCAGCAATTTTCTTAGCAGGTTGGCCCTTGTCTTCTTGAAGCCAGACAGGTGGCTCGGGGCTGTTTTTGGGCTTGGGATATTTACGCCGTTTGGTATTTGGCCCCTTTGCATGGCCCCTGGACCCACACTGGGTCACTGGATGACCTCTGCGCACTCAAAGCAGAGCCCGCCAAAGCAAGTGGACCACAGAACCTGTCGAAACCCATCACAGCAGGGAAATTCCTGGCATCATTTTTGAGTATGATTGACCATGATTCCTATACATTCTATTAATACCATAGGAGTCAAGCTTTGATGGGGCCCCTGAGTATATCCCAGACAGCTTGAAGCCTTCAGTTGAGGATTGTTGCGCGTTCCCTGAAACACGTGATCGAACTCCTGGCCTTGGGAGCTTTGCTGATGGCCGCCTCCCCAGCCTCAAGGGATTCAAAGATTGACTTGAAGACCATAAACCTTTCAGCGCTCACTCAGCCCTATCACAGCAATGCAGTGATTTCCGAAGAGCAACTGCTGGGCTTCTGGGTCTAGAATTGTGTGGAGATCAATGCTCTAGCGCACTTGAAATGACAGTAGCCACTGCCAGTAGCTCAAGTAATTCAGTATGCCTTCTGGCTTCACGGTGTAAAGGCGAAGTGCTGGAGACTTGTGCAAGCAGAATATCCTAGTTTTGTCATCGCGGCGACGAGTGAGGGATCAAATCAAAAGTCTGCTTTGGGAATCAAGGGTTTATCAGAGCAGCTTTGGTAATCAGCCTAAACCCTAAACTCTCCCATCCCTTACAGGGGAGCCGCACCAAGCCCAGGCATTCTTTGCCTGGATGGCTCTGATTCTTTATCCGCCATATACAGAGGAGCGCAGGCTGTGGGAACAACAAGTGGAATACATGTGTAGATTTCAGGGCTGAGGGCCGAGAACTGGTGTTCAAGGCTTCGGCGTGTCAATGATTGAGATTCAGATTGAAGCATGATTAGTTTTCACATCTTAGAAGAGGGTGCTTGTACTATGAACTTAAGAAAATTGTATGAATACAAGACTGCCCTGGAGTGAAGCAGCTGCCGGTCGTCGACAGCTCCCGGTGTTATTGCAAAGGATCTATCGGCACGCGTCAGTGAGTGTTGAATCAATACCCTTGACTGCTCCTGCGCCATCACTAATATGCTAGAGGTTCCAGAGCCCAAAAAACCCAAACCCTAATGTTCTCTAAAAGCTTTCTGAATCTTGGACCTCCAGTGTTGAAATCCTGCTGCAAGGAGGGACGTCGATACTTCCCTGCGTTTCTGCCGGGAATGTGGAGTCTTTTCGTCCTCCTTACAACCGCCAACTTCCCAGATGTGATGCCACTGGGCAGCTGTCAATCACACCATGGGTCAGTAACAGTCTATATTAGGAGTCCTATCATAATTATCCAACTGGCCAACTGTTATGGGGTGGGGGCAGTACCCAAATCATACCATGGGACGGCGCTTGTAAACTGTTTGCGCACGTCTTACTTCCATCGGTCCTCCTCTTGATGGCAGCGGTGGTGACGTTGGGCTGTTTGTTTCCCATTCGTTCAGAAACCGAGGCTTCCTGCATACGAGAAAAGCCGGTCAGCCGTGGTCTTCTTCGTAGTCTTCATGCTCGTGGGCATCTGGGCAAGCGTCAGTAAGCTGTATGCCTTGCTGGGGAGAGGCAGTCCAGATTATCGCTTCAGACCGAAGGACAGTCAAGGGGCTGTCAGCTACACAGATCCGCAAGAAGTTGGCGCCTGAGACCGTCCATGGCAGGGACATAAAAAGATAATACATGTATGCTGGCACTAGCAGACTGGAGGCTTCTCAATGTATGCCACGCGCTCTGGGGGAGCTCTTCTGCCCTCGTTCGAACCTCCCGCATCACAAAAATGCACGAGATGGAATGACAAGCATCTCGAAATTCAGACCAGCTGCTAGACCCTAAAATCTAGAGCTCAGGCATGTTCTTCTTGGTGAATGTCATTACTGCAATGATCATGAGCGCCTACCAGCGCCAAGTTGCCGAAGATACGGACTACAGGCAGAGTCTGGGCCAAGAACTGGATCAGTTTGGCACGCCAACAAGCTTATTCTGAGGTGAAATGACTTGACTAATCGTGTTGGATCTGCTTGACCTAACCTGAACCAGTGTCCTCGGGTCATGGCAGCTAGCAACAGTTTGGAGACATGACTCCCTTGCGCAGACATGGGATGATTTGACAATCGCCACCGCCTCCCCAGCAGCTGCTAGGGGCATTGCAGAAGCAAGGGCTCAATATCCAAGATCCAAAACATGTTCAAGAGAATGTGTACGAAACTGGTGCAAAAGCCACGAAGTGGCAGTTAAGAAGGCCCAGCTGGCAAGATGCTTGGTCCGAAGTGTCAAGCCCTAAGCCCCAGAGAATCTTAGAATTGAACCTTGAAATGGGCGGTATAGGGGATTATATAGGGTTTAGGCTCCACCTGTACCTCCGAGTTCTCTTGGCACATCTTTTTCAGCAAAGCTTGTAGAGAATGCATTCTGCCGAAGCCCGAAAGCTTTAGGCCCAAAGCCTTGCCCCCTAGCCCTGAGGCATATGGGGGTTTCCCGAAATTCGCTGTACCCTTTTGGGGGGGTTACCTATAAGGATTATAGCATCTTACTCTCTATTTTTCGTCTCCCCCAATTTTCTGGGAAACTGCCATCTTACCTGCTGAAAGATCTCAAGGACGCTACGGAGGGAGAAGGTCAGTGAGGCCTTCGACTTGCTCAGTGCAGATGGCCCTCTGACAGTTGTCGGCCTTGAGCAGGCCCTGGGGAGGTAATACAGGGGCTTGAATGGGAACCCCAAACAAGGAACCCCAAGAAGAAAGAAGATGCTAGGAATAGGTGGGTACAAGGGTTGAAGGGTGTTGGGTTTTAAGGGTTTAGAGGTTTCAGGGTTCGGGGTTTAGGCTGTGAGGATTCAGGATATGGGGTTGTAGGCATACCGCCACACGCAAGCTTCCGGGCCTACGTCCAGGCTAGGACGTTGGGGCTTTGGCTTTAGGGTTTGATGGTTTGGGTTCTGGGTTTTAACATGAAGGAGATTTATGACAAGTTTTAAGCCTCTGGATTCAGCAATGTTGGGCATCAGGGGCTGAGGATTTGGGCTCGGAAGTTAGGCTTCGGGGAGGTGGAGTAGGGGTGGAGGTAGGACCTTCGTAAACCCTGAACCACTGTTGCAAGCCCAGGTCTTTCTCGAGATGGGAAAGTATGCGGACTTGGACCATGTGAACCCCCTCACGGCTGCTAGGCATGCACCCTAAATCCTGGACCTTAAAACCCTAACTAGACCCTCCACACCTGAACCTCCGAAACACCTCCGCTACTTTGGACAAAGGCCCTGAAGATCGACCACGACAGTGATGGTTTGATCAGCGCAGAGGAGTTTGGGTTGCTTGGGCCTGCATTTGGGGCTTCCTAAAGGGGTTATATCGAAATATTTGAAAAGAAAATGGAAGCTACTATTTTGAGTTTAGGGTTTCCCATTCTAGGGGTCCCAGTAGTAAGGATTATTGCATTTGGGGTCTATAATGGGGAACCGCTTTTTAGCTTCGCAGCTACGCAGTTATGAAGTGGATTATTAGGGACCCCAAGACATTATCATCCCGATTATTGGGACCCCCAAACTGGTCCCCTAAATTTTGGGAAGCCCTGAAGTAAGGGTGTAGAGATTCAGACTTTGGGGGGCTGTGTTGAAGAGGTTCCTGCAGGGGGCGTAGATTGGAGCCTCGATGAACCTGGTGCCGGACTGAGGGTTAGGGCTAGCCACCAAGAAGGCGTGGAAAACAAGATGGACACGACCATATTCTTGGAAAGCACAGCTTTGCTGAGAGTGTTTGAGCATCATCGACAGTGTGCCAACTGCAACAGTACCATTTCGCAGAGATTCTCATCATGAAGTTTGATGGAGGCCTGGACCACTTTTCGGCATACATCTGCATGATGCATGGGGAATTTCAGATATGAGTGATGAGGCGCCACGTTCCCGTGTAATGGGCAGCTTGCTCGAGCACTGTTCTACTGGCGATGATAAAACATCCCAGACAGAAATCAAGGCCCCGCGCCTCCCCAGTCCCAGCCAGCGCGCAAAGGATTTTGCGGCGATGGTGTGACGTTTGGCTTCGGGCTTTACAGCTTAGAGCGTGAAGCCTAATTACTCGTGGTAGCGAAGTGTCCCCCAAACTCCTGCCACACAACCCGAAATGGGCGGCCTGCAGCGTATGTTTCAGCTCTCAAGGGGTAACACGGAGATAACACGACAACCATCGTAGTTGTAATGCTTTGTGAACTATGGTCTAAACTCCTTAAAGGGGGTTATATGGGGGATTATGCAGGGAAGTACTATAGTAGTTATTAAGGGTGATACTAGGAGTTCTCCTGCCTGGAAGGCACGTTATGCAGAAAGAAGGCATAGAGCTAAGTTGATCTTCAGGCGCCAAAGTGGTACACTGCTGCTTCATGGTCCATATAAGGTTCCAACAATTAGGAGTCCTATTTTGGGTGAGAAGTACAGTATAGTGGGTATGTAAGGAGGGCATTCATGGAACAATTCATATCACAGAGACTTAGCTTGCCAACCTCGCTTCCTCCCAGAATTCTGGAGGAGTTGTCGCTCTGCCTAGGCTACTTGACAAGAATCTCTTCAGGGACACCAGAAGCATATCGTATGGGGATAATGGCCGCCCACTAGGGATGATGCAGGGGTACCTTTGACACCCAAGGGAAGTGCTTGGCTACTTTCACACCAAGCTCAAGAGCGAGTTCCCACCTCCATGGTTGGAGACACTCTGCCCGGAACTGCAGGAGAACGGCGGGGGCGGTTGTGATGATTGACATGCCATGTGCCACCCCCCCAAGTCAATCAGTACCCGAGTACCCCACTGGGTTGTGCAGCACCATGATTTAGGATTGGGCTAGTTTGAAGGCTATCAGAGAACATGAAGCAGGAGTCCCCCTGCTGGAAGAAAGCTAAAGACTGCGCGGAGAACGACAGAGTGGGCTGGATCATCGACCTGGGTCTGGCGATCAACTTTATCCTGTTGCTAGTAGAGATGTGGCCGGTGGTTGTTGGCAGCGCGGATGGAGATGAGGCGAAAAGTTTGACCATTGTCATTGGCAACTCATGGCGACAGACGTTTTTCACTTGGCTCTTCATTTTGGAATGCGTTGCAAAGATTGCACTCCTAGGAATTCGGAGATACCTGTCGGTCCATTTCCACCGCATGGATCTTGCAGTGACCGTCGCAGTAGCGGGGCTCAGCTTTCTGATTTGGTGCCCTTTCGTCTCATACGCTGACTGGAAACTGCTTCCAGTGCTGACCTGCCTGCGTCTCTCCCGCCTCTTCAGGCTGCTGAATAATTACAAGCCTTACAAGGACTTAGCCCACATCACCTTTCTGTTGCTACCGACTGCCTTAGACATCTTGTTGATACTGGCGCTGCTTTGCTACCTGCTCCTTGTGCTCCAAGTAAAGCGTTTCCAGGTGTTTTCCACAGTATCTTGAGTTGCTTTGCAAACCCTGCTACATTTAAAAGTGGGCAAATAAGGTTCTCGGCCATCGGGGTGTCGCTATTTGGAGGTCTGATTGACAAGGACCCAACGGGTCCACACTATACGGCCGTTGCGGCCTCCACTTTCGGCCAAGCAGGCTGCCAAGCTCTTTTTGTCTGTGATACTAATGAAGGGAATGTAAGACCTGGACTGAGTAGCTGTCGTCACTCAGCAGCTGACATGCTTAGTGGTCACGATCTCTCAAAAAAGCCTTCCGTTGTCACTGCTGATGTGTAGCATTTGTGGGTGGGATTTGCGGGCTTGAAGACTCAGTGTAAACATGGTTGCCACTCATGCCTTCTTCCTAGTACTATTACTGGCGACTGGATGCATCGTGGATAGTTTAATGCTCCCTGAGGTTACTGGGCCAACAACTTCAATGACTTTGGCATGGGCTTTGTGACTCTCTTTGAGCTTCTGGTTGTGAACAACTGGTTCGTCATCTCGGATGGCTTCGCTGTGGCAGAAAGGAACCCTTAATGCTTGCACACTGAATCCCCGGGCCCTACCCCGCACCAGAACCCTAAATCACTAAACAACAACAACAAACCTGAACCCTAAAACCTACAAACAGCACAGTCCTCAGGACCGTAAACTGAGGTTTCTCCGCAGCAGCCGGAGTTTGGGCTCGAGCATATTTTGTGGTCTTCTACATTCTTGGTGTGCTGGTGGGACTGAACCTGGTGGTGTCTTTCATCATTGGGGCCTACATGAATGAGTATGAGGAAACCTTGAGGGTAATGCAGGCACAGCAGAAGAGTCAGGAGGAGGAGTTCCGGCTCAAAGATCAGTCCGAGTCCTGTTCCGATTCAGACGAGGCGCCTTGAGGTAGAGTAGTTTGTAAGGGCACCCGTACCTTTCCTCTGAAGGACTGGACCCTGGATCCCGTCTGTCCTTGTCAGCTTGAGACCATTTTGGCTTCACCTAAACCTAAAGATTTTGCATCTACAGTCTAGGAGGAGAAGGGCTACATTCAAGAGAGCAAATATGTTGGGTACTGCCCCCATTCTGTACCGGTTGGGTTATATACATATGTATATATATATACATGTACAATACGTCTATATATAGCCCTTAATATGCTCCCTTCATATAGACTGTTACAGGATGAGGGCAGTACCCAACTAATACGTGTAGTCTCAGCATCCCTCAAGGTCCCACTGTGGAAAGTCAGCTGGCACCGAAGAACTCGATAGCTTCTGCTGGGGGAGCCGGCCTCCGCAACGTGAGCCAGGCTCAGACCTGCATGAATCCCATGCTCCTGTGTAGGATTATAGGGATAATGGACAAGAAAATGGAAACTACTATGAAAAAATAGGGATCATGGGATAATTCAGAAATGGAAACCAAAATGAAAACGATTATCATAGGATAGGGATCATGGGATAATGGAAAAGAAAGTGGAAAGTACCTGCAGTAATCCCATCCTCCTGATAAAGCCTCTCCCCACCGATGCATGTGGATACGTAAGGGTATATGGGGATATTATGTAGGGCTATCTACACCCATAGTGACAAGAGTCACCTAAGAATTCTTGATAGTACCGTTAATTGAGAGGGCTGCACAACGGTCCTCTCTGTATGTATTACGGGGGAAGACTTATTCTTAGAGGCAGTGGGGGCTCTTCTGGGAGGTGACAACAGGTAGAACCTCAACCCCTACAGACATAGACACCCCAAAAATGGCAAGGTCATCACCAAACATGAACTACCAGAAAAATGCAGTTCCCAAAACCTGTCAACTCTTAATTAATCCTTCTCGCTTGCGCAGCTCGTGAGCAAAAGCGGTTGCGTGCACAGAGGTGCCAACTGAGTAGCTCCGAATTTACGGTCCTTTGGTAGTTAAGGGCTAGGGTGAAAGGGTCTACGGTTTTAGCGTCTAGGGTGTAGGGTTTAGGGCTGAGTCGTAGCCATGGGCTCCTAGTGGGGCTTGTAGGGCATTATGGGGTGTATATATATATATATATCTGAGGAATAGGTCCAATCATTTACTGAAGGGGCAGGCTTGACTATGGCATTCCGTTGACTAGGGATGTATAACCCAAATGCTGGAGAATGAGACGGAAAAGGCCATTGAAAATGAAATGGAAGCTGGGGCAATAATTTGAAGAAGGGTATTGGTTGTGTAGCAAGCGTTTGCTGCTAGAGCCAGTTGCGAAGTTTGCACACTTTTAAACGTGTGTGTGCTTCTGGACAGCCGGCTCGAACCCTAGAGCCTTCTATGGAGAGCAACCGAACCCACTTGTTTGCATTGCAGGCAAGGCTGAACATGATGAGCTTGAGCCTTCTAATCGGGGCCCTCAGCCTATGCGTTGCTCAAGAGGAGGGCTACAGCGAAGAAACTTCCTGGATTGAAGCTTCAAGCACCAACCTTCTGCAGTTTGGCCAAGCCCTCCGAGACTCACAGCCAGAGTGTGGACACCTCACCGTAGAGGCCTGCGACCCAAGGGCTAACGCTTTTTGCAGCAACAACTGCCGTATCCACACACACGGGGCAGACTGCTACCGGCCGGTTCCAGATGTCATGGCCGAACATCCTGGGGAAGATGGTTATTGCTATTTCAATGCAACTGCTTTTTGGGTGTCATATTCAGGCCCAAACCCACACTTTGAAAAGGAAGCTGCTGAGGGGGTCCTCTTCTTGAGAGGCCCGTCCTATAAAGGCCTAAACACTGGGCCGCTGCTCGCCTACTCTTTCGAAGATGCGGTGAATCTCACCACCTACGCGGACAGCGCCCACTACCTCTACGACGACCTCTACGCCTATTCTCTGGGCTTTCTTCAAGGCCTAAACCCCCTAAACCCTAAAACAGATTATACCAAAGTGGGAATATTTGCTATTAGGGAGGTGGGGGTCTCGAAGTTAGTTGGAGGGGAGTTGGATCTATGAATTTCTTCACACATCCGTAAGGTCCATTTGTCCAAGAGCTTAAAGCTCTAATCACGCTCTGCAACTCTTCCTGAGGTCAGGGGTTGGATCCCAAGTGGATGAAGAACTCCTCCAAATGGATCTCCATCTCCCGAGAGAAATGTGACGAAATCCAGGCCGAGACTGAACGCGGTTTAGGGTTCAGGTTTTAGGGCTTCGGATTCTAAACCCAAACCCCCAACCCTAAACCCCAAAGAATTGAAACCACCAAATAAACCCTGAAACCCTAACAGACCACCCTATGACCCTGATGTATCCTCTACAAAGCCATCCTACATCCTAAGCAAGTCCTATCATTTAACCCTATACCCTAACTCTTAACCCTAAACTCTATACCCTAAACCCTAACCCCACATCTTCTGAAATCCAGGCCAAGTTCGCCTTCGAGAAGGAAGAGCTCGTACTCGCAGACTGGCTCGACTTCAACATGGTGATATCAGCTACTGGATCGCTGTTAAGGAACTTTAAATTACAAGGTAGAAAAATAGTTACAACAGGTAGCAATAGATCCTACTGGCAACAAAATAGCTGTATGATAAGGAAACCATAGTATTTACCATACGACCAGATTACCGGAACTTGATTTAAGTTCCTAAAAAGCAACCCAGGCTATGACCATGTGTGGCTTGGCCCATGGTGTGCAAGTGTCACTCTTAGGGTTTTAAAGGATCACTTTTTGGATTCTGCAGGTGTGAAGTTCCAAATCTACAGCTAGCATGGCCATAGGCTAAACTGCAAGGACGGCAAAAGGTTTGAGGGTTAAGGGGATGTCATAACTTGACCCACCCCAACTTGGTACATTGAGGTAGCGCTGGCATGAACATCTCCTACATGGACGCAGACATTTTGAGAGCCGCAGGCTGGAAGAGCCCCACAGACTGCAAGCCTGTCACTAGCCGCGACTTCGCGAAGCACCACTATGCTCCCTGACTTCTAGCGTACATCTTGAAAACAGCAGGTTGACGATGTATAGGATTATGAAGGCACTTCAAGACTGAATTACACAAAGCTCCTTACCCCGCCTGGCTGCCCGCAGTTTGGAGTTCTTCGGGGGGCACAGAGCCCTCCAGCACCAATCTAACCTAACCTTCATGACCTAGAGTCAAGATTTATCTTACCAAGGGACCCTTGATCAAGGTGGGCATAGGTCGTTTTGGTAGTCTAGTATACCCCGTAATATGTTTCCTAGTAAGGAAGCCATATCTTGTAAAATTCCAGGGGAAACATTGACTTTAGCTCTTGTTCTCAATCCTAAACCCCTGAAACCCTTCTGAAATCCAAAGCTCTGCCGAAAAAAGGGTCAAGTGACGAAACCTCTGGCTTTAGTCTAAACTACTTACGGGGGTTTATGTAAGGGAACGTATAGGGGACTATGATAGGGCATATTGAGGGGGATACTAGGAGCTTAGACTACAGCTCATATCAAAGCCAGCATTTAGGGTTTAGGGTGCTTGTACAAGGTGAAATGTCTTCTTGGCTACCGCAACTCCGCAAGTGACATGGCCTACCTGAACGCTCGCGCCTTTGAACGAATCCCTCCTTTGGGGCAAGGTTTCAGGAGATCCTGTTTTGGGTTCTTTTGTTTTTCACTATATGTTTTGCAGAGTACTTGCTGAGCAAGTCCGGTGCTACAGCTTCAGGCCGAAGCACGGGGCTTACTTTCCACACCAACAGCTGCTTTGAAGAAAACAACAGCCAACCCCAAATCCTGAACCCTGCATTGTCGTATACCAGGCATTTGCCCACATTGCATCCTCCTGCGGTCATTCGGGTTTGGGGTTGGGGTTCTGAGAGCAGATCTTTGCCAGCCGTTCATTCCGCCTGACCCGCTTCTTGACGTGTGGAGGCCATATGGATTGGGTGATCCTGGCTTCAATGCCCCGATGTATCTAGACTCCAGATGCCACTGATGCGACATCCCAGCCCAGTTCCACCGAAAGGCCATGCTCATGTGCAAGCCGGCCCAAATCAGGTGGACGTGCACACTGAAATGCCAGCACAAGCACGGCCCATCGAAGGGGCCACAATGGGGTCTGCGACGTCCCATGCCTCTGCTAACATCAAGCCCCTCCCAGACTTCATCCAACCCGTCAGGGAACCCTGCATTGAACGTTTACGCGGTACATCCAGACGTAGCTTCAATTTTTGGGCGCGAAGATCTGCATGGGGTACTGTAAGGGTTTGGAGCCTTCAAACATCGGCGCTTGGGGGACTTGGGTTTACAGCTCAAGGTTCAGAGTGGACAACGTTACCCGCGTCTCAGCTCAGAGACCAAGAAGTGGGTGTAGAAGCACAGCTTTGAATTTGCTTCTGTTTTGCTCAGTCCTTTCTGTTGGGCTGAGGCTGCTTTGTCTGATGTAATCAAAGAGTCTTGTCGAAGGAGTAGTGGGTATAGCTCACATGCTTTGCCAGCGAGGTGCTTGCCTTCTACCTGGGAACAGCATTGGTCACTTCTCTGACTGCCCATACTCCGTTGACGTGGATTTCTAGCAGCTCGCAAGAGCTCCCTTGCAGTTCCAGCTGCCACTGGAGGTCGTGAAGCTTAGTGAGGTCGATCTGGTCCCGCCACAGCGCAAGCAAAAGCTGTTGCTGTAGCCAATGGTGCCAGTAGCTCATGCAGAGAGTCGCAATGAAGCTCATTCCGCTCATTCCAGATCCAGTACCATTCTACTTTCATTTGGTCCTTAAATTGCATATTGAAAGTCGATTCAAATTTGAGCAATCCGCTTTTTTGTATAGATCTAATGATATTATTTTCTTGCTTTTGTCTTATTCTTATTAAGTGTTAGTTTTTATTTGGTCTCCTGGTTTTGCGGTCTTCCGGCCACGATGCTCCCATCTTTTCGTCTTCTGATCAGGATTATCTCAAATTCGATTTTCAGAAATTGCAGGCCAGGCCCCGTCTTGGCTCTGGCGCAGGTAAGTGCGGATGGCCCCTCTTCCCGTGGTCCTGGCTTCTTGTGGGGCCTAGACCGGCCGTCCAACATTCCTGAGTTTTTTGTTGTTAAAAATCCTGGGTTTTTTCCCGAATGCTCCGCAGAAGGATCCCGGTTTAAGGTTGGGTTGGTTTGTGTTCGCATGCGCCCGCAAGCGTTCGCAAGCGCCCGGAAGCATTCGCGGAATGTCCGGGAGTGCGGAGAAGTGTCGGGCATGCCCGGGAGTCCAAAATCGTCGCGAAGCGCAGCACTGTCGTCACTTTTGGACTTGCGTCGGGTCTTCGCGTCTCAAAAGTGTCAACAGTCACGGAGATCTTCGCGAAGTGCAGCACTGTCGTCACTTTTGGACTCGCGTCAGGTTTTCCTGTCGCGAAAGTGTCAATAGTTACGGAGACCGGGGGGTCGTGGTCGCGAAACGCAGAACTGTGGTCATTTCTGGATTTGCCACTGGAGAGAGGAGAGGAGAGAGGAGAGCGGATTCAAGAGAGGAGAAGAGAAGTCGTTGCTGGGTTTCACTAAAATCCGCGTTCCTGCTGGTACCGACCGTACCTGAACCGCGGGCTCGGAGCCTCGTTCCGGCGCGCCTGCAAGGGGCGCGCATAGCCTTCAGAAGAAGAAGAGAGGAGAGAGGAAAGAAGAAAGAGGAGAGAGGAAAGAAGAAAGATCAAAGGAGAGGAGAGTGAGAGGAGAGGAGCCAGGAGAGAGGAGAGAAGAGAAATGAGGGAGAGGAGAGAATTTTAGCTCGAGTCTCCCTGCCGCTACCTCTGACTCCTGGGGGGCCCGCAGGGGGACAACCCAAGGCGGAGGGGGGCGGGGGCTTGAGATACCGGGCAGCCATTTCTAAGCCGAGGGCACGCGGTCCCAATTGTTGAAGCCCAATCTAGCGAGGTCACGGTTTCAGGCCTGCTTAATGCGCATTTGCATCCCAGTGCTGTGCCGGGGTTAGGGGTTGGGTGGGCAGCGATGGACAGGTGCCTCCCTCCCCTTGTACTCGCGGGGCTTTTATATCTTGTTATGGGTTTACTTTCTTACTTCTGTTGGCTGGAGAAGCTTCTGCGGCCCGTTCGTACTAAGGGTGAGCGACGTAAAGACCGTCGTCGAAAAATCAGGGTTTGCGGGGTTACTCTCATAATTCTGGTGCTGCTCGGGAGTTTTGTACATAGGAGAAGAATTCTGAGATCTCCGCCCGTCACTTGGGGTGCTGGGCGACTGGATCGACGGAGTAGGTCTGGGAAGACTAGTATTCGCCCAAAATGCGGCGGTGGTTGGGTCCAGCCTCATCATTTGTTTTACTTGCACCATTTGCGTTCATGCGCTTCTTCCGCTTGGGGGCTGATCGAAAGGGATTCTTCGCCCCTGCAATCGACTGACTGGAATAGTGACATGGGAATTGGGAGCAGCATAGCGATTCTGGTGCAGGGCTTGTACTTCATGACTTTGTGGGTTTGGGTCCTTTACTTGGGGGATATCATGAGACTCCTTGTCCTTGGGATGGGCACGATCGCTTGGATCCGAGATTTTCACTTCCATTCTCACGTTTGTAGAAGAGTGTCCGTTCTTGGAGGTTCTTGGTTGAGTAGTGGGATGGGGAATGGTAGAATTCTGTTACTCCTTGCTATCTATTGCTACCCAGCTTTCCCTAACACACGAATTTTCCCTGCTCTTGGCGAAGGGGGTGTTAGTATGGACATCGATGATGGCAATATGGGAGACGAGTTGATGCCTCAGGCCCCCAACCAACCCCCAGTTAGCGCGGTAGACGCCGAATTGGCTGACCTGTTTGGATGCGATATCCGGGATATTCAGGAAGACCGTTGCTTGCAGGCGTTAGGTGATCCGAAAGGGAATTCTGGTCAAGCACTCTTCTGTCCGATTCCGGGCTGCGCGAGAAGTCGAGGTAGGGGACCCGCTTGGCGTAACAGAGATGCACTACGGGCTCATATCGACTTGCATTGTATCGGGGAGTTGCAAGGTCAGCCGTCAGCCGAATGGTTGCACAGCAGCGGCTGCGGGGCTGTAGGGTTTGCGGTAGGACCATAAGTACTCGTTTCGCCTCCGGCGTGCACGCCCATTGCTGGCCACGTAGTAGGAATGCTGATATCACCAACCCTCCTCAAACGGCGCAGGACAGTCTCCCTTCCTTTCATGATATTTTCACCACTCCCATCTTCACTAAAGATCATCTTCTTGCGGAATTGTGGCCTCAGATACGTAGTGAATAATATGCTAGGTTGTTTGCGGCTGTTGTCTCGTCTAATCATCGGGATGCTTGGGATGTTAGCCCGGCCGGGGAAGGCGGCGGCGATAGCGAGGGTAAACAGCGCGCGCGCAGGGCTTGGACTGAGCTGCTCATGTTCCCTAAAACGGTCTGTAGGCAGAATAAGCGGGGAAAACGTCGCGGCCAAGCCATCGCCTTCACTAGAAGCTTGCGTATTCGCTGGAAGATGGGGGAACAGCAGGGTCTGTGGGATGAAGCGGTCATGGCGATACGCAAGCGCGGTCAAACAAGATCAAAGGACAACAACTTGGAACAGCGTGAAGCAGATGTTTGTCGTTTGGTATCTCTCGGTCGCGCCGGGCAAGCTGCTAAACGCCTTGTGTCCCCGGGGCTGGCGGAATCAAATGACGTAGCTAAACAAAAGCTTTTAGCTAAATTCCCCCCTAACCCTGATGAACTTGCGCCTCGCCCTATGCAGGCACAGCCGCCCGCCCCCGAGCTTCCCTTGGAGCTGGTATTCAAATCGTTGCAATCCTTTCCTATAGGATCTGGACCGGGGCCCGACGGCCTACGAGCTGATTTCTTGAAGGGAATTGTAGGGCAGTCCTTGGATTCGGTGTCTTGTGTAGGTTCCTTCAAATATTCGTGGATGCGGAGGTCCCTGATATGTTACAACCTTGGTTAGCAGGAGGGGGCCTTGTTGGAGTTGGAAAGATTGACAGATCTGGACGCCCCATAGCTTTGGACCGTGATGCGCGTCCCATAAT